CGTGCTGTGGTACCCTGGCTGCAGTAATAGATATGCACCGTGGAGGGCTTCTCTTCCCCTTGAGACTCGGTCAGCTTACGCCTCTTTCGGCTTGGGATATCAGCGAGGAAACCAGTCAGAGGTTCGGTGACCCATTCATTCCCTTTCCTTATCAGAAGGACTGGATCCGCATCCGTGGAACCCTTCCTACGCTGCCACGAGTTAACGGGATCATAGCGATTCCGACAGATCATAGGCTTCGGCTGGTAGTTCGGGGCACCACCCCGATGCCACACAGGCACAATCGATCCCTGTGGCGGTGACAGCCAGTAGGGATCCGAGTTTAGTCGGTAGCCCTTCTTCGCGGCATGTTCATCGTCAAACTGACACCAGTCCGAGGACGCAGCCAACGTTCCCACACAAGTAACACCCTGTTGCAGGAAGGACCAACGCACGGCGTAATTTAGCTCGGCCTGGGCGCGGCTCTGCCACCGCAGCTGCTCATAGTCCGGCAGATCCTCCAGTTCTTGAACTTCCGCGTACTCCGACTTTGCACGATAGGCGTCGATGTCAAACCCAATGGCTTTGACCACCTCGGGCAGGGCGTCGAAGCGGAACGTGTCGGCCAGGTTACGCACTCCGATCTCCGCATCCATGTACCTTGTCAGGGTCAGCCATAGTCATAAACCGATCATGAAGAGAAGGATAGTACCATCCGATAAATGGCGTTGCCGTATACTGAACTCCACCTATATCAAAACCCAATCGACTCAGAGCTGGGAATTGGTACCACCTAAGGCCTAATTCATTGAATTCCGGGTAGTCCGGATGTTGGATCTCGATCAACCGACGGAGGGCGTCTGGCACCTCCACAAGAGCTGGTGCGTCGTTTTCAGCCATGGCAACAATTGGTAGAAGATCCCATCGGGTCTTGGCCCGTGGCGGCGTCCAGCCCAAGTCAATAATGTCTTGGGTCAGCTTGACATTACTCGGGTCACCCAGAATAGAGCCATCTTCGAGCTCGTACTGCCGGTTGCGAAATCCGGTCACATCAGCACTAATAGTCATCGCCAGGGGAGAGAGGGAAGGAGAACGTACACCAGCGAAGTTCAGCACCTGTTTGTTCCAAAACATCGGACCACTGCCATCCACAGACTTCGGCGGAAAGACAAACACTGGAGAAGACGTTTCAGATCACTATACGATACAGTGGCAAAATTATACTGAATTGATCCTACCTGTCGGCTTAATCTGGCCATGGTTGAAGGCCTTCGTGACTTCCCCAAGAAGTGCTGTGGCCATTCCGACGCTGGTATGAATATGTCGCAGGTCACACAGTTCCAGGTCTTGATACCGGGAGCGCATGATGCACTTGCGCGAGTTCCTCCAGGCCAGTCGCAGTCCATAACGAAGTTCTTCGGGGCTCTGTGTCCAGATCGAGGTCGTGTCCACTCGCTTGGACTCCTGCTCCCAGACGATTGTTTGCTTCGCCGACCGAGCGATTTCCTCCAGAACTTGTGTGCGCCTTTCTAGGTAACAATCCTCAGTGTACACGCCATCCTGCCACAGCTGCCAGAGAAATGCCACTGCTTCATTCTGCACCACTTCAAGGGGACGATTCTCCCCGACTTTTGGCTCATCGCTGTGGATGAGACGTCCAGCTTGGCAGAATTGGTCTGTACAGCCAGTCGGGGCCAAGATGGGGTTCTTCTCGAGGATCCGTTCATATTCCTCGAAGGGGCACCGTGTGGACGGCGTGGCCCCTCTGGTTTGACTGATCTCCGTACAAGGCATGTCCTTCTACGCAGGACAGCTCGAACATGAACAGAAAGCTTATTTCACGGCTTGAGGGCAAGTCTCTCGCCCACTTCACTGCCCAGGAATATGGAACTATTATGGAAACGGGAATATACGGACAGGTGGCATCTGAGCGGTCCAAAGTGCGGCAAAGATGTGCCACAGATGGATCGTGATCCACAATTATGGTAGTATACTATAGTCTACCCATTGGGAAAAGAGGCTTGGTCTAAGCTGTGTTGAGGCGAATCGTCGGTGTGTTGGTCGATCCACCGTTGTATTACAGGCCAATGGTGGGAGGTCGTGTGCCAGTCTTAATTCTTTCTGCAGTCCCCTGTTAGTCAATGTTTCTGGGCTGCTTTGAGATCACCATTCTGGCCTTTTTCACTCTGCTGCGCATTTCGTCAGATAAATGTACTCTGTAGTTAACTGGACTCCGATCGTAGGACAGCCAATATTGAAGCACACTACCGGACCAACAACGCTAATCATACCTGGATGCCTAGCTTCTGGGTTTCAGTCCGGAGACATCACATGTTTGCGGCTAGTCGAAACTGTCTGGGCGATGTATCTCCACTACGCTAGATGTCTAGGTTGGCTGTTAGATGGTCCTAGTCTAGGCTCCCCCCTAAGGAGGCCCATAATGGCCTGATTACAGAAATAAGCATGGCGGGGAGGGTAAAGCCTTAACCATCGACGAGTGGTCTTTAGGAGTACTTAGTAGTTATTGCCCATCCCGCAATCATCCTAACAGGGGAGGTGTATATTGGATGGAATTGAGAATCATTTGGACAGGCTATCGTTCTGCTCAACATTCTGTTTATCCCTGAAAGGAAGGTCGCTGCTACGTTGCCTATTTGGGGCCAGTGCCACGTTCCTGCCTCGGTACAAGTCACCTGATCCTCGGCCCGCCTTTTCCTCCGATTGTTGACAATAGATGCCTGGATACCTCAATGTTTCCTGGCTTGTCTTTCGTGGCGTCAATCATGCAATCACATTTTGCCCGACGCTTTTCTTAAACATGTATATCAGTATTTTTTCTTAGTTTTCCCCGGAGCTCCGCCGGCAAGAATTGCGACGCATCTGCCGCCTGCTGGGCCAACTGGGTCATGGCCATCTCCCCCAACAGCTCCCCCGATCCTATGGACACCCCCACTTCCCGTTGGAACCAGGCCTTCAAGTCCACCGTCACCAGGGAATCCACCCCGTACGAGCCCAGCGACCGCTGGGGATCAATCTCCTGCACCGACAGAGCCATAATGCGCGCCAGTTTGTGGACGATGGCTCGCGTCACGACCTCTACCGCCGCCTCCATGGATGATGCCTCGCGTAACCCTTGCGAAACCGGAGCCTCGGCCGCTTGTTCGGCCGTTTGGGACCTGCCTGCAATGGCCAGAAGCGGGGAGAATAACGGATGGGCCATGAATCCGGGCAGAGGGATGGACTGGCGTTGAAAATCCCGCGCAGATCGTACTCCGACCACTGTGTGGCAGGTCTGGATGCTCTGCGCCGCCCCCCAGGCAGGGTCCATATGATATTCCAAGATAGAGAGTAGAAGGTCTTCTGAAAGGGCCCCGAAGGCGAACGCGATGCGGAGTTTATGCTGATTCTCCGCCACCCAACCCACACTCAGCACGCTGCCCAGACTGACAGAGGTGGCCGGGTAGCCCTGGGTCACTAGTTGACCCGCAAAGGCATCCAGAAAGGTGTTGGCGGCCGCATAGTTGGCCTGGCCGCGGTTGCCAACGATCCCCGCCGAGGAGGACAGCATGACAAAGAAATCCAGATTGGACTTGATGGGGGCCAGGGCAGAGGCCACGTTGATGGTGCCCTGCACCTTGGGTGTGATAGCCCCCAGGAAGCGAGTGTGGTCCATATTGGAAAGCATCGAATCCTGCGGTCCACGTTAGAACCGCATCCCGCACATTAGTTTATTCGAACCATGCACCTACCTCAAGAACCATGGATGCCTGGAGACAGCCCCGAATGGGAGGCATGGACGCCTCACACTGCGCCATAGCTTTCGCAACGGCCTGTGCATCGGTAGTATCACAAATCATGTCGGACACTGCGCATCCCGCGGCCCGCAGATCGGCACACAACTCCCGAGCCGCCGCACTGCTGGCTCCAGACCGCGAGAAGAAGATGAAGTGCTTTGCGCCCCGGTGATGCATCCACCGAGCTACACTCCGTCCGAGGCCCCCAAACCCTCCAATGAGAAGGTATGACGCACTGGGGTCGAATTGGTGACTGCCCAGTGGCTTCAGTGCCACCTAGCGATTTTCTGGTTAACGAAGCGAACTGGCTGGAATCATGGGGCATGGGGTCCAGAGCTTACTGGAATGGGGTCATTGGGGAGTGGCTGGATGACCCAGGGGCCACGGCTCCCTCGTCGAATCTCGGACAGGACCCTTTGGAGTTGCGAGTATCCGACTCGGAAAGGGGCGACAGGCCGAATGGTGGGACTGGCGAGGAGTTGGGCGACAGTGCGTAGAGTTTGTCGAATGGATTCTGGTTTCAACTGTGACAGTTCCCGCATGTTCACTCTATAGTAGGACTGGTTGCTCGGCGAGTTGACTTGCGAGGGGAAGGCCCGTGAACCTGAAATATCCACTAGACGGCCAAACGGCGAGAGGCATGACAGGTGTAGAAATTCTAGGCCATCGCGGCGGAGGTTGAGCAACACATCTACACCCTGTGTGCTCGTCTGCGTGCCGAACTGCTTCTCAACAGAAGCACTGTCAAGGATGTGGCTCTCCTCTACCCCGTACTCCGCTAGTGTCTGCCGCTGTGCATCAGTCTCCACTGTCGCGTAGACTGTGGCTCCGAGCATACTGGCGACTTGCACGGCAGCCTGACCAGTGGCACCGATCGCGGGATGGATCAGGACCTTCTCTTGCGAGTCCAAACGAGCCACGGTCACCAGGCTATGGTACGCCGTCACCCATGGCAGGGGTAGTGCCGCTGCATCCGACAGTCGAATCCCATCGGGGATCTTGGCCACAGTGGCTGAATGGGTGCGGAAGAAGGTTTGTAGGGCACAACTTGGTCCCGTACGCAAAGCCATCACTTGATCACCGACCTGGATTCCCTGCACCCCATGGCCGATCTCCACAACGGTCCCTGATCCCTGATCACCGAAACCATGACCGGGAATGAGTCGGCTCAGTTGGTCTGCGTCCTCCTCATCCAGCCCGGCGGCATGGATCCGAATTTTTACCTCGTCAGGGTCCAGAGGTTCGTGCGCCTGCGGGTCTTCGATGAAGTGAAATCCGTTTGGTTGCTGAGATCCGATAGAAGTCAGCTTGATGGGGTGGTCGACCGTACCGAGAGGTACCTGTCGAGACCGGGGTCGCGAGCCCAAACCGATACACTCATTAATTCCCGCCGCTGGGAACAGGCGGTTGGTGAGCAGGACACCGTTGCTCCCCTCGATGCGATATTCCGAGTTCGGCGGCACTCGCTTGCAGGAGATGAACGCGTTTTCGCAAAGACGAACAATCTCGGAGGAGATGGTCAGTGGAGTAGGCCGCGATAGCGATACTGACAGCAATATGATATTAACATTATCATGCTCCCGCTCCCATCGCGTACTTCGAACGAGCCCAGTTGCCAGCGCAGATTTGGGGACGTCAGTTGGATCACACGTGACCCACAGTAGCTTCTGGAACGACGTGAGGATAAACTTAACCCTGTCGTACTCGCTGGAGGTCAGCTCCGATAGATCAAGGCCCTGGCACCCAACCAGTACGATACCAACTGTGTCTGAATGGTCGAGGGAGATATCTGCAAGGTCGACCACGGCAGCAGTACAGGATCGCGGCAGCCGGTCAGCGACTTCCAATGCGAGCTGTTGTTGTCCCGGATAGGTAGATGAGTAGATGATACTGCACGGTTGGGATCCATCTAGAACCTTCGGCATGGGCGAAGCCACAAAAGCTGACATTTCGTTGATCCCATCGTCGGTATCATTGATAATTAGTCTGGGCCGCAGACCAGCATTCTGTAGCTCCTCGGTCCAGTGCTCCTTAAGGATGAGGGGATTGGTCTTCCGGTAAGGCTCCACGCTGCGCCACCAGCCGGGTAAGAGGCCGAAAGGCAGTTGGGAGCACATGAACTTGGGTTGGATGTTTTCTATCACGATAAGGTCACCGCCTCTGTGGTCAAGTCAATGATGAAACGTCTGTCCCTGGGGAAAGGGGCGGACTTACTCTTTCAGTAATGCTCGGATGTTCTTTAAGCTGACATTCAGGTCGGCAGTGGCATGAAGGACCTGGTCCACACGTCAGTCCTACTCATCAGGTTGTTGGCAAGGGTGCAGGGGGAGGAACAACATACATGCGTAGCAATTACGAGATCGTATGAGCCCAGTTCGAAGCCCTGTGCGGCGGGATCCTGCTCGATGTTCAACAGTTTGGGACGCAGGATATCTGCCCAGTCGTGGAATCGCGCGCGGGCTTTCTCGAAGAATGCGGCGGAGATGTCGGTGAAGTCGTAGGACGAGACAGAGGACACCAACCCCCCGCCATCTTGTGCCTCGGTCGGCCTCAAACTGTCGAGCATGACCTTGGTTGCACTGCCTGTGCCAGCACCGACTTCCAGGATTTTGATGCCGGTCTGGGCGTGGGCCAGACAATGCAGGTACCCGGCCACCGCGGGAGCAATTTGTCCTGGAAGGCCCTCTTCATACGTCCGCTCCATGAGATTGTCTGGGCCGAACATGACTTCCAGACAGTCAATCTTCTGCTCCAAGATATCTATCATGCGGGTGCCCACGCGCACCAGCAGCTCTCCTCGGGCACTCTGCCGCGCTACTCGATCGAGCAGAGATTTTCGGCGATCTGGATCGGCCCGGATGCCATCCAGCAGGGACTTGTCAAGTAAGGGAGTCGTGCCATTGTTGATGGATTGGTATTCCTCTTCCATCCAGTCCATGAAAGCCTGGTGATGAGTTGGGAGTGGTGGCAGCCCCGTTCGGGTTACATACTCTTTTGCCTCCTGTAGGAATATCGCCGAGGCTAGCTGGTATCCCTCGTGCTCATCAAACGTGGGCAAGTGCTGTGCCGCGTCTACCGGGGCAGAGTTGTGCAGCGCGTCTGCAGAGGCGAGGAGCTTGACATCTGGTCTCCAGTTGACGGTGTAGAACGACTCCGCATCCACCGCATCATCGTTGTTCGCAGGTAGCTGCACCAGATCGAGGCCTTTGATCTGAATGTCTTGGTCCCCGACGTTTGTGGTGATACTCACATCGCACGTCCACGTCGTTGCTGACGTACGCTGCCTTCTTGCAAATGACTCGAATTCACGGGCTCCCGTGTCATTGGGGTTAACGATCACCACCTCTTCGATGTAGTTGGTCACCATGGGACTCTGTGAAGCCTCGCATAGATAAAGTAGGGCGTGTAGAATGCTTTCAAAGGAGCAAGGATGTAAGGGGTACTGATCGTGGGCCTGGGGAGCTATGCTAGGGGCTGTGATGGTCGCTGTGCAGGCTGTGCGGTCGGGCGACACCTTCATGGCCTGGATATTCCTCAGGTTTTCCCCAAAGTCCATGCCAGCCGCTGTAAAACCGTGATACATCTGTGCGATGTCCACTGGCTCGGCGCACTGCTTTCGCAGCGCAGTGTTCACACATAGATCAGGTGGTCCGGTTTCAGCTCGAACCGAGCCAACACAATGCTCAACCCAGGTCTTCTCCGCAGTGTCATAGGAGATGATCCGGAACGTTGCCCAATCGGTCGCCCCGTTGGCGCGCACATTCGTTGGGTAGATAGAGACCTGTATCTCCACGCCAGAAGGGCTATCCGGCACCTGTAAAGGAGCCAGGATCGACATATTCGCTATCCTTACCCTGGGGATGGTCATCGTCCGTGCGACACGTTGTTGCAGAGCCTCGGTAGCCATCAATATATATGCCACCCCCGGGAAATGGATTTGCCCTTTCATCTGGTTGAGTCAGTATTAGGGGCTCAATACGTTAGTAAACTGGGAAGCCTCACTCGGTTCATGCGTAGCCAAGGCAGATCATCTGGCCTGAGGACATTCCGCCATCGTTGCTCATAGGGGTTGCTGTCTTCGACCGGTACTCCAAGCAACTCATGTCGGTTGTATGTCGGAAACTTGACCTGCTCAATCCGACGCGAAGTCCCACGCACTGATCTGGAGTGATCAAACGCATAGCCAGGCAGGCCCGTCAGTAACATGGGAATCTTCCGCGTTCCAACGCGACGGTCGTTGATGGCGGCCAAACTGATCTCATGACCGGAGCAGAACATCATTCCAAGCGTGTGCAAGATTGTAGATCCGTTCGTCTCGTAACGTTTTAGCAGACTGCCGTACTGAACGGACTGGTATTCGGGCACTTCGGCGAATGATTCCTTGATTGCACTCCGCAGCGTTGAGTGTGGGCCAATTTCGATGAGTGTATCCTCTCGTTTGCCTGTCGTTCCAGGAAACTCCATGGATGCCAGAAGGGCAGTGCAAAACCGAACTGGGGAGACGAGGTTTTTTACCCAGTACGAAGCCTGCTGAACGTCTCCAGCGGGCACTGGCTGTCCCGTCACCGACGAGATCATCTGGATGGAGGCATCCTTATGAATGGTATCACCCCCATCCAAGATTTCACCCAGTAAGCTCAAGTACTCCGGTGCAGCGTCTTGCATGTAATCTGAATGATAGGCGACTTTGACGGGAAGCATGCGATTCAGGGCGCCAACATCATCAAGCTCCAGCTTGAGCCGGAGGATATCATCATATCGACCTGTCAGGGTCAGATTTCTCGGGCTATTGTAACAACCAATCTTGACAGATGTCGGTTGACCCTTGTTGACGCGGGCCACCACTCGCTCCAGTTGATGGACTGGCATGGCAGCTGCGAGCATGCGACCCTGCCCGTCTGTTCGTCGAGCACACACTTTGCCTCGACAGAAGGCTACTTTCCATGCTGCCTGCCGAGAGATATGTCCTGCGCAATATGCCGCAGCTATTTCGCCCGAAGAATGTCCCACCACCGTTTCAGGCACGACTTTCCAGCTGGCAAGAAGGTCCACCAGAGCGACTTGCACGGCAACACAGGAGGACTGCGCGAAGGTGGGCTCATCCAACTCCCCTGCTTTAGAGGTCATCCGTTCTGACTTGCGATTAGTCGTCGTTGCCCTCAAGCCTCAAAAAGAAATCTGGGTAGACTTACCAAATAAATCCCAGCCACTGCCCAGCTCCCTCAAGTACGCTGCGGCCTCCTGTATTCTCCGCCGGAAAAGCGGATATTTCAGCATGTCACACGCCATGCCTGCCCAATTAGCTCCCTGTCCGGTGAAGACAAACCGGATGGGCTTGGGAGCAGATGACTGGCGGATAGCCCGCGAATGCTGCAAGGACTCGCGGAGACTGGCGATGCTGTCTGCCACATGGTAGCTGCGCCAGTCGAACCGGGTGCGCTTCTCATTCAACGTGTGGCACAGATTGTTGAGCAACCGATCCTCTCCATCTGTATCCGCTGTAGTGCTCTTGGAATCTAGATACTCTGCCAATGCAGATGTATTCCGCTGGATTCCCGCTTCATCAAAAGCCGATATCACGAAAAGCCGGCTTGTTGACCAGGACTGGACGGACTGATTGGAAGCATTGCCAGACATAAGAGGCTTTGACAGCATTGGGGTGGTTTCCAAGCTAGTATCGACTTCAGGCGCGGGCAATGCTCCAGGGATATACTGACCAAAAAGATCCGCGAAGAACCCCTCCACGTCCTCCACCACAGCATGTGCATTTGTGCCGCCAAATCCGAACGAGTTGATGGAAGCTCGCCTGACATCCCATCGCGGCCAAGGGGTTGCCTCTCTTGCAAATTTCAGGTCATCGCGTTGAGGAATCTTGGGGTTCAAGCTCTGCAAGCCTGCCACTGGGGGTATCATCTTCGACTCTACAGCCAGTGTGGCTGAGATCAGCCCCGCCAGTCCTGCGCCACCTTCCAAGTGTCCCAGCACGGATTTTACCGATCCAACATAGAGGGGCGAATCGCGGGCAACACCTAATGCAGCTAAAATAGCCTGCACTTCCAGGGGATCGCCCACCTGCGTACCCGTACCGTGAGCTTCCACGTACCCAGTGCGTCTCGGATCCAGGTCCGCCACTCGATAGACATCGTGGATGAGCCGTTCTTGGGCCGAGGGGTTAGGCACGGTAATTCCGGGAGTCCGACCGTCTTGGTTTGAGCCCGTACTGCGAACAATAGCCCGGATGCGATTGCCATCGCGAAGGGCGGCTTGAAGGGGTTTAACGATGACGGTTCCGACGCCTTCGCCTCGCCCGTAGCCGTTGGCGCGGGCATCGAAACTCATACTTTTGCCATCTGGAGAGAGGACCCCAAGACTGGAAAGGTACAACGTCGGCCCGGGGTGCTCGATGAGATTAATACCGCTAATGATTGACTAGTCCGTAGGTTAGCATAGGGTCTTCAGAGGTTGCATGACCAATGGAGAAAGAATATATTTTGCTGGTGGGTAAGGCTATCAGACCATGGCGGACTTCCCGGCACGAACGTCCATACAGCCCTGATGAAAGGCAACCAAACTACTTGAGCAGGCTGTATCGATTGTTTGGCTGGTCCCTTGGAAGTCATAGAACCAGCTGACGCGGTTTGCCAGGATGGACGGGCTTGTTCCGGTGCCTTTGCCCTTAAGGGACAGTAGAAGGTCAGAGTTGGCTAGCGCGAGGTGGTCATTGTTGGAACATCCGACGAAGACAGATGTGGGTGATGATATCGCATTCTTCAACGGAATACCAGCTATATTAAGGATACATCAGTCGGACCATGAGCTTTGGTGGTGCCAATGCTCTAAGTAGAACATACCATTCTCGAGGGCGTGATACACGTTCTCCAAAAGCATCTTTTGCTGCGGATCCATAGCCATGACGTCGATCTCCGACAGCTGAAAAAAGGGGGAATCAAATGCATTCAGATCACAGTTCAGGAAATAGCCACCCTTCGAGTAACTGGTGCCGGTTGCCTCAGACGTAGGATGATAGTAGAAGGAGGCGTCCATACGGTTGGACGGCATTGCGCCATGCATGCACCTGGCAGCCATGACCTGCTCGTAAAGTGCCTCTGGGGAGTCAATCCCATTGGCGTACTTGCATGCAAGGCCTATAATGGCCAGAGGCTCGGATTGGGGGATCGGAGCGGACGACATGATGTGTGGACAACTTTTTAGAAATTCGACTCTGAGGGTATAAGAGGCAGAGGGGTCTCCGTAAGGTGCTGTGCAACGAATTTTTTATACGGAATCGCATCAACGTGACTTCCAGGTGTGCCCATCATTACTGGCGTGTAGATGTCCTCTACACGTCAACTGTGCATATTTACACGTCAATGGACGACCTGGGTAACTGGCCCAACAGGTACTTCTATCGTGAAGAGCCCCTGCTAACGGGGTGAAAGTTGCCCACAATCCTAAGAAGTATCGTTCTCTCCATTTCACACACCTGAAGCTACTCAACCCAAACCATTTTACTCTCTTATTCGCTTAGCTAAATTATGGACCTCAAAAGCCGTGCCGAAACCTTCCTTACCACCATCGTAAATCGTCGGGAGACAGCTTCAATCGAGCACTACCTTCACCCAGATGCGCAGTTCAAACACAATGATTTACCTTCCATGTCCACTGCAGAGCTGCTCGCGTTCTGGCCACAAGTCCTAGATGAAAGTCCAGACTTTCGTGTCCAAATTTTGGCGACCATTGCCGAGGGACTCCGTGTATGGGTGTATTCGCGTGTGGAGGGAAGGTTAGGAAAGGGAGTAATGGATGATGTGCATATGCTCGAATTCGATGGAAACGGGCTTTTGATCCGCAGTCGGGGGATCCAGCGGGAAGTGGTTGAAGAGATGGAGAAGTAGCACCGACGACGGCTCAACTCGGTTGAGGTGATGGTGGTAATGGCAGTGCTGGTCTCATGTAATATAATTCCTGTTGGGAGCATACAAGTTGTCGATTGAGTGTTCGCAGATCGAGCAGCAGGACAAATCGAATGACCAATGGTTGGGCCTGCCTAAGGCGATATGGTAACCTACCCTAGGACCATCAAGTACAAATTGTTTTCCTTCCCCTTTTTTTTTCTTTTTCCTTTTCCTATCTTCTCTTTTCTTTTTTCTTTTTTTTTCTTTTTTTTTTTTTTTTTTTTTTTTTTTTCTTTTCCTTGGGATAGTTTTCTCCTGTATTCCTTTTGCGGAAGTTGAAGTGACGAGTCTGATGCGTTTGTACCTGGTCACGAAACTATCTAAACATAATGTGTAGTGATGTTATTACCAAATAGTCAAGTATGTCTCAAACTTGCCAACTCTCCAAGACTAGAGCCCAACACATCCCCCGCCGTAAAGTGAAATCCGTGCTGCTTGGCCAGCGAAGTCAACGCCAAGGCGCCTAGGGAATCGCCACCGATATCCGTGAACAACCCATCCATTGGTATGGAAGCCACGGACAAAGATCCATCTTCGCCGGTAAATACCTGTCTGACCAAGTCCTGCAGGACAAGCTCGTTCTCGTTGAGCGGCACTTCTTTCAGATGGCTGTGCGTCAGCCCTGGCGTGGCTTCCGACGAGGAGGCCAGGATATACGTCTGGTATTGTTCTGCGCTGAGGTCCCCTGCCAGACTTTGCAAGGACCTGCGATCCGTCTTCTGCGATGAAGAGAGCGGAATTTGAGTGATAGGGATCCACACGGTTGGTACCATGTAAGGAGGCAATCGGCTCGCCAGAGTATCCCGAAGACGGCTCATAACACTCCGCCAAGCAGGTGTCATGGAAAGGACCCCACAGGGCTTCGGACTGTCCTGTTTCTCTGCCAAGAATAGGGCCAGTGCCGGGTTATGTTGCGAATTGATAAGCTCCACCACAAGTTCCCATGTTCCGGCCAGGGTATGGTACGCGTGATATTCCACCTCGCTCAGTTCGAGTCTCTGGCCGCGAAGCTTGACCTGCCTGTCTTTCCGCCCGATGAACAGCAGAGACCCGTCCAGCTTGGGGGAATACTGCACCAAATCGCCAGTCTTGTAGACCCTCACTTGGGAGAGGTCACCATCGTGGTAGTCACTCAGCCAATCTGGTACCGGTGGGAATGCTGCCTGGGTCTGTTCCGGACTGCCATGATATCCCTGTCCCACTATAGGACCCTCAATTATCAACTCCCCCACCGCCCCAATGGGGAGGAGTCGGGTATGGTTCTCTGGATCTACGACCCAGGCGTGACAGCCCCGCGCACAACCAATGTTACGGGGGTCTGATTGTGTAGTCAGGCTGGGTCGTAGCGTCGCCAGGACAGAACATTCCGCTGGTCCGTATGCCTGCATCAGATTCACCCGCGATGACCATCTCTCAATCTCACTGCGGCGCATGGACTCCCCCATTAGACAGAGACGATCCATAGTGGGAAAATCCTGCGGGTCAATGAACCGGGTCACGCTGGGAGTTAACCAGGCGAAGTTGGCCCGTTGTGCCGCGACAGCCTCCGCGAGAGATGAGGTTCTCTCCGGGTCAGAGAGAACACATACACAGCCACCCGCCATAAAGGTGCTCAAATGTTCAATGATGCTGGCATCGAAGGCATACGAGGCAAATTGCAGCACCCGCGTTGCGGGGGTAATTAGGGCGGCTGGTATGTGTGCCTCTGCACCACTGCCGTACGAGGCGTGGCTAATAAGGACGGCCTTCGGCCTGCCAGTCGATCCGGAGGTGAACACAGCGTACAGGGTAGCGTCTGGATGTACCACAGGCAGCGCTAGTGATGGACCAGGCAAGCCGATGATGGCATCAACAATGAGGGGATTCGATACCAAGCGTTGTGCCACGTCGGCGTGTTTGCTTGAAGAAAGTATAAGAGTTGCGTCGAGCTGACAGCAAATCGACTGCAACCGCTCCACAGGGAATGAGGCATCCAGGAGGACAAATGCCTTTCCGGCCTTCATTACAGCCAGCATGGTTACTGCCGTCCACTTAGACCTCTCCATGAGCAAGGGTACGAACGAGGTAGGTTGGCCACAGCGTTGCAGTATCTGAGACGCCAGGCTCGATGATAATTCATTAAGGGCTCTATAGGTTATCGATCCATCCCACGAGCATACAGCCTCTTTTTGGGGGTGAGCCAGGCATTGCCTCTGGATAGTCTCATGAATGGTGAGCCCGGTCCGCGGGATTGGAGGATTCCACTCTTGCAACTGCTGTTGATCCTGCGGGCTGAGGAGCGAAATCTCGCCGACTTTACAATCTGGAACTGCATGTATCTGACGGACGGCATGAGCAAGCTGGTCGAGCAGGACTTTCACGTAAGCGTGCTCGAGCATGTTCGGGTCAAAAAATGCCTGGCACTGGATCCGATCTTGATCCAGGACTTCACAGGATAGCGTCAAGCCATATGAAAAGAGGTCGAGTAGTTGCTGGTCATCCGTTATTTTCAGTATGGTAGAGTGGCCTCTTGAATCGGGCGCGTGTACAATTAAGAGATTCTGAAAGTTGCAGGCGGCTCTGGTTTCGCGGCTGATGCGTGCGATATTCTGAAGGCCTCGTTGCTCGTAGGGAAGCATCGTTGCGGCATCGTCCTGCAAGGCTTGAAGAGCATCTGACACCATAGCAGAGCCGTCGATGCGGACCCTGAATGGCACCGTCGCCAAAGTGGGACCGATCAGGCTCTCGATGCCCTCGACTCGTGCGCTACGACCGGTGGATACGGCACCAAACACGACATCAGCATTCCCCGTATGCTGGGATAAGACGAGTGCCCAGCAAAGGCGCAGTTTCGTGGTAATTGTGACATGAGTCCGGCTCAAAGGGAGCAGGATGATCCGCTCGCTCGACTTGGTCGGACTGGGGAGATAGTTGGGTTCAGGAGTGGGAGGAAAAACCGTCGGATCGGCATCGGAGAGCTGGTGTCGCCAGAACGCATCAACCTCCTCCCTGGGACAGGTGGAGACGTAAGATACAAAGTCTTTGAAGTACTGAGGCATGACTGGCTGTCCCTGATAGGCGTCCTCAACTGCTCGCACTAGCAAGGGGCCTGACCAGCGGTCGAAAACCGAGTGATGCATTGCGAGCAGCAGGCGAGAGGGCTGATCGGCTGCTGATAGCAACAGCGCGAAGCGGACTAGTCGAGTGCCTAAACCTAGGGGATTGAGCTGGTTCATTCTGCGGAACTCAGCTTCACTCTTGACGGACTGCCATTCGATTGATTCGTCTACCACGGCCTGGTGGAAGCCCTCGTTGGTCAGGCGTACGATGCGTGTTCGGAGGATTGGTACGGCTTTCACTACCGTCTGCCAGGCCTCCAATAGGCGACCCAAATCCACCGTAGGAGAGAGGTTCTGCGCCATGCTGAGGATATAGGCACCCGTTCGCTGTGCCGACAGTGCCATCAGACCTTCTTGCAACGCTGTACATGGATACACATCCTCGATGGCCAACTCGTCTATCCCACATTGCTGTGCTGCTACCGACTTCCATGGAGTAGGATCGAAAGATGCGATAGGCTGGGATTTCGAACGCTGGGATCCTTGTGATGCTTCCTGTTCAAGATGCGCCCCTAACTCTTTCATTTTCGGGTAACGAAACACATCCTGTACGGTCAGGGAGAGTCCATGTCGACGGGCCAAGGGTACAAGGTGGATGGCGAGGACGGAGTCCCCGCCGAGATGGAAGAAGTTGTCGTCTGGTCCGATGCTTTCTGCCGGAATATTGGTAAGGTCTGCCCACAGCCCTTGGATCTGCCGCTCTAGGGGTGATAAGGGGAGTTGCTCGACAGGTCGAGGTTTTGTCATAAGCTGCACCAAATCTGCTCTGCTCATGGCCTCTGCCAGTTTGCGGAGCACATGTCTATCGGCTTTATTCGTTCTGGTTAGCGGAATGTGGGACAGAGGAACAAATACAGTTGGGACCATGTAGCTGGGTAATGATTGTTCAAGCACAGAGAGAGAATTCGTAACTGTCTCTCGAAAGCAGTCATTGGGTGGGCAGATCAAGGGGGCCTCTGAGAGGGACTCCTGACCAGACACGACCAGAAATGCCGTCAACATCTCGACCTGATCCTTGGTAGTCACCAGTTCCACCACTGCCTGCGCATCTTTGCAGGAGTGGCGTACCTGTGCCTCAATCTCGGGTAGACTGATCCGATTGCCGCGAATTTTGGCATGGGCCTGTCGTCGTCCAACA